TCTGCGATACAACCGCATTTGCTCCAACCCCTCAGACAGAGACAAACACCTACAAGATCTCTATCAAGCATTCTTACAACTACAATACCCACCTGCTGAAGTGAAGAAACAGATTGACAGAGCCAGAAGAGTACCGAGAAGTTACCTGCTACAGGACAGGCCCAACAAAGAAAATAACAGAACGCCACTAGCCATCACCTTCAGCCCCCAACTAAAACCTCTCCAACGCATCATCAAGTATCTACAACCTATCCTGAAGGACGACCCATCACTCTCACAGATCTTGGGAGACAGGCCAGTCCTTGCTTACAGACAGCCCCCCAACCTGAAGCAAATACTCACCAGCAACCACACACCACACAACAGAACCACTAACCCAGGAACCTATCCTTGCAACAAAGCCCGTTGCCAACTGTGTCCACATATCTATTCAGGCGACACCATCATAGGGCCTAATCACATCAGCCACAATATCAGAGGCTCATTCACCTGCACATCTACCAATGTGATATATGTCATCATGTGCCAGCAATGCCCCTCTGCCATGTACATTGGTCAAACTGGACAGTCTCTACGTAAAAAAATAAATGGACACAAATCAGACGTCAAGAATTATAACATTCAGAAACCAGTCGGAGAACACTTCAATCTCTCTGATCACTCAATAACAGACCTAAAAGTGGCAATACTTCAGCAAAAAAACTTCAGAAACAGACTCCAACAAGAGACTGCTGAATTGGAATTAATTTGCAAACTGGATACAATTAACTTAGGCTTGAATAGAGACTGGGAGTGGATGGGTCATTACACAAAGTAAAACTATTTCCCCCTCCCACCCACTGTTCCTCAGATGTTCTTGTCAACTGCTGGAAATGGCCTACCTTGATTATCTCTACAAAAGTTCCCCCCCCCCACCCGCTCTCCTGCTGGTAATAGCTCACCTTAAGTGATCACTCTGGTTACAGTGTGTATGGTAACACCCATTGTTTCATGTTCTCTATGTATATAAATCTCCCCACTGTATTTTCCACTGAATGCAACCGATGAAGTGAGCTGTAGCTCACGAAAGCTTATGCTCAAATAAATTTGTTAGTCTCCAAGGTGCCACAAGTACTCCTTTTCTTTTTGCGAATACAGACTAACACAGCTGCTACTCTGAAACCTGATATCTCTGAGTTACTGCCTGATCATTAACTGATCTGATGTCCAAGACTATATTTCCCCATGAGCCCTTTGGTAATTCTACTAGAGTAAATGGTGCAGGTGTTATTTCTTTATGAACTTTGTCACTTTGACCATAATTTTCATATTTAGGTGCATAAATCATATGTAAGTTCTTAAATAAAAGAAGTGCTCTTGTAATTCAGCAGATATCTGTTGATATGCAGATGATAATTCCAATTAAGTATCTTTCAGGTTGTTCAACATTTCATTTATTTTTGTAAGGGATGGCAATGCACTGTTTACAAGAGTTCAAGTCTCTCATATCTGTGTACATTTATATTTATCCATTGGATTTTTGTGCTACTACTCTTGGAGATATCCACTCAATCAATGGTTTCATGTATGTTATCAAACAGAGCTTGATCTAAGTGATTTCACTGGAACATCATGGGAGCACAAATCCCCTTTCAGGATCAGACCCATGGTCTCTGTGTTTCCATAATTAACTATCCTCTTTTTGAAAGTGGAGTATTTCTTACTTTGGGCACAGAGATTGCAGACTTTTTACAGTAACTCCACGCCTATTGTTGTAGTTATGTTCCTGAAAAATGTGACTTTAAGAGAAACGATATTAAGCTAATCCAATTTCTCCATAAGAATTAATGTAAAGTGTGGGGGGGTTTAGGTTCCAGGGAAATTTTTTTCACCAGACAAAAAACTGTATTTTATATATATACACACACAGTATAAATTTTAAACAAACAATTTAATACTGTACACAGCAATGATGATTGTAAAGCTTGGTTTAGGTGGTGAAGTTAGAGGGTGGAAGAGGGTGGGATATTTCCCAGAGAATGCCTTACTGCTAAATGATGAGCTAAAATTCGGCTGAGCCCTCAAGGGTTAACACATTGTTGTTAATAGAAAAGGAGTACTTGTGGCACCTTAGAGACTAACCAATTTATTTGAGCATAAGCTTTCGTGAGCTACAGCTCACTTCATCGGATGCATACTGTGGAAACTGCAGAAGACATTATATACACAGAGACCATGCAACAATACCTCCTCTCACCCCACTCTCCTGCTGGTAATAGCTTATCTAAAGTGATCACTCTCCTTACAATGTGTATGATAATCAAGTTGGGCCATTTCCAGCACAAATCCAGGTTTTCTCACCCTCTGGCCCCCCCCCCCCCCACAAACTCACTCTTCTGCTGGTAATAGCCCATCCAAAGTGACCACTCTCTTTACAATGTGTATGATAATCAAGGTGGGCCATTTCCAGCACAAATCCAGGTTTTCTCACTCCCCCCCCCCACACACTCTACAAGGCAGCACAAATGGAGGGAGGAGAGACAGCATGGCAGACAAAGACAGAGACACACAACTTGTGCGTGGGAGAGAGAGATGCGCATTGCCCCTTTAAGTACCCTGACACCACATTCTAAGTATATTTTCTTTAAAAAGATCAGGAAGTTGAGACAGCAGCTGCGGCCCACTCTCTCTGTCCTGAGCCTTGTTGTGTCTCCCCCATGCTTTATATGGAGAAGGGGTAAGCGGGGGATAGGAGTAGGGGGCAGGGGGACACTCTGACATTAGTACCCCTCTTTCCCCCTCCCCTGTACAGCAAGCAGGAGACTCTTGGGAGCAGCTCCAAGGCAGAGGGCAGGAGCAGCACATGGCAGTGGTGGGGGGACAGATGAACTGCCGGCAATTGGTAGCCTGCTGCACAGGAACTTAGGGGAGCGGGGTGCTGATGGGGGGGCTGCCGATCCACCCTGGTTCCAAGCCCCCACCAGCTAGCTGCAATGGGCTGCTCTTCCTGCAAGCAGTGGACAAAGCAGGCAGCTGCCAAACAACGTTATAAGGGAGCACCGTGCAACTTTAAACAAGCACGTTCCCTAATTGATCAGCAATGTAACAATGAAACAACATTAAGTAGTTACTGTATTACTGTATGTACATGAAAAGAAATCTCTAGCCCCTTTGTTTGCAAAATTAGCCATCTAAATTAAAATTGATGTGGTGTTCTCTTTCTGAGTCTGCAGGCAGACAGGCTGAAAAGTAGTTCTAAGAGAAATGTGAACTGCCCCATTCACTTCAATGGGGCGTTAACTCTGAAGACTAATTATTACCATTTAAATTTCGACAGTGTTAACCATTTCACTACTGATCATTTTAGAGAAATATGCAGCAACTGTGCTTATCCATTATTGCTGAATTGTTGCACTGGCCGATAGAGCGGGACAGCAGAGATATTTTTCTCTCCCTAAGAGTTTTCAAAAGAGCATTTCCATAAGTGAGGGAGTCAAGTGCTATACTTGCTCTATGACTCTCAGTGTTGCAGGTTTCCATCCAGTTTCAACACCCTTGTCAAGAAGAAGAGGGGATGAAGATGAAATGAACTGCTTCTCCACTTCCAGCCCAGGAAAGGTAAGGCAAGACCAAAAAAGAGCCATCTGTGGATTTTCCGGCCCCCTGGAAGGAGAGAGGGGGTGGGGCTAAGCATAGGCACCGATTTCTGCTGGCGCCGGTGGGTGCTCGGCCCCCCTCTGGCCCCAGCCCTGCTCCACCTCCGCCCTGCCCCCATTCCAACCCCTTCCCCAAAGTCCCCGCCCCAACTCCGCCCCCTCCCTGCCCCTATTCCAACCCCTTCCCCAAATCCCCACCCCGGCCCCGCCTCTTCTCAACCTCCTCCCCTGAGTGAGCCACATTCCCGATCCTCTGTCCTGGAGCTTGTTACGCCGTGAAACAGCTGTTTTGCAGCGGCAAGCGCTGGGAGGGAGGCGGAGAAGTGTGGATGCGGTGTGCTCAGGAGAGGAGGCGGAGGTAAGGTGGGGCGGGGGGGAGCTTGGCTGCCGGTGGGTGCAAAGCACCCACCAATTTTTCCCCATGGGTGCTCCGGGGCTGGAGTTGGTGCCTATGGGGCTGAGGGAATATCTCCGACCTGTGTTCTGCCCTCCAAAAAAGGGATTATTTTTCTGGTGCTTGATTTCACAAGGCCCTCAATCTCACCCCAATTCACTTCAAAATGTATTATCTGCCAGAATAAGCATTATACAGATGAGTGAGGCTTTGCCCGTGGACTTGCATGGAGGTGGATGTGCCAAACTCAGGCTAGAATTGGACCAGTCTCACTGGTTCAGTGACCCAGCACTTTTTCTTTTTTTTCTCCAAAATCTCAGCTTTATTAAAAAAAAAAATTCTCTGACTCTTATGGTTGCAAAGAAAGCCTTGAAAACGTGAAATGAGTGTATAAACTGATGCAGTGACTACCAGATTATCGATTGCATCTGCAGAGAACATAAAACAATAATTCTGAGAGATATGAACTGCCCCATTCATCTCAATTATGTGTTGGCTCAGTTTACCAATGATGATTATAATTGTCAACATGGTTAACTTGCTGCTTCAAAACAAGTAAGAAGAGAGACGAGGGATCACAGACCTGCACAATTTACTGTGAACAGTTTCTCCTTTGATTCCATGAGCAGACTAGTGGAAGCAAAAGGCCAGAGCGACAGTGGCACATTCAGATGCATGTGAGCCCAACCAGTGGAGAGCCAATCCCACAGGCACCAGCATGGCACACAAGCACCACTCAATGGGGTGAGCCAATATTGGAGAGCTTGTAAGGCATCAAAGCTCGGCAATCCAGCCAACCTTCACTTCCAGAAAAGTGGGGACAAGGTCTGCTCTGGTTGTGAGTGTGGCCAGGTGGTTTCTTCCCTGGCTCTAATGGCTTCAGCTCCTCTCTTTGCTACATGTTGTCTGCAGATTTGGCAGAAGTCATGTACACCTCATACATGATAGGTTGCAGGGCTGCTACTGACAGGTCAAACTTCTATGTCATTTATTTAGTTTCCTTCTCAGAGAGATACACCAGAGATGCATCTTCCATAAGATCCTTTAATGCTCTGCCCTGTAAGGCTGAGGTTAGCTGAAATAAGGTATGTTGCACACTGTGACACCTCATGGCTTAACAGCATAATACAGTTTAGCATTCCATTACATCTCCCCCTTTAATACGTTCCTAGCATTTACAAAATGTACCTACATGTATCTTTGAAGTTCAGTATAAATTATTCTGTTAAATGTCTCTGAATCATACTGGCTTTCGAATTACACAACCTGAAAGCGTAACAGCTTGGTCATCTGGGTGTCCATTAGTTGCAACAACTGGATGTGGTCAGTTTGGAATCCACTCTGGTTTAACTTGGATTTAAACTTGGAGAGTGGTCAGTTTAGATGAGCTATTACCAGCAGGAGAGTGAGTTTGTGTGTGTATGGGGGTGGGGGGGATGTGAGAAAACCTGGATTGGTGCAGGAAATAGCCCGACTTGATTATGTAAAGAGTTGTCACTTTGGATGGGCTAGCACCAGCAGGAGAGTGAATTTGTGTGGGGGGGTGGAGGGTGAGAAAACCTGGATTTGTGCTGGAAATGGCCCACCTGATGATCACTTTAGATAAGCTATTACCAGCAGGACAGTGGGGTGGGAGGAGGTAATGTTTCATATTCTCTGTGTATATATAAAGTCTGCTGCAGTTTCCACGGTACACATCTGATGAAGTGAGCTGTAGCTCACGAAAGCTCATGCTCAAATAAATTGGTTAGTCTCTAAGGTGCCACAAGTACTCCTTTTCTTTTTGCGAATACAGACTAACACGGCTGTTCCTCTGAAAACTGTCTGTAGAGTTTTCTCTGCTGATTGTTCTCTCTGAGGAACAAACTTTAGATGCCAATGGTTTCAGTTGAACTCTCCTCTGTTAGTCTCAATCACATATCTGGGCTCTAAGTTATTTTTCTTTATGACAGCTGAAGTTGTCCATCCTTTCTCTCTGTCCAATTTGACATGAACATGGTCACCAGGTTCTAGACACAGCAGTTCTCTGAGTATTGTGTGATGTAAAAGTGTTTATAAACTCATTTTACCTTTTTATCAGATTTAGTTACTTTCTTCATGTCTGGCCACTTTGGAAATAGATTCTTTCCAAAAGTTGGAGCAGTAGTTTTGAGTTGTCTTCCCATCATAAGTCATGTTGGACTATATCCTGTAGCTGCTATTGACCTGTAGCTCAGATAAAAAGGAATGTATCTTCCTGTTGTAGGGTCTTCTTGGCTGTCTGTACAGCTCTCTCAGCCTCTCCATTCACTTCTGGGTAACATGGGCTGCTAGTGATATAATCAAAATCATATTTTGTTCAGAATGACTTAAATTCTGCTGCAGTGAATTGTGGTCCATTGTCCATCCCTTGTTGTTCTGGAATGCCAAAATAAGCAAACGTGCACTTCAGTTACTTGATAGCACTGTGACATGTTATGTCTTTCAAGTACATTATTTCTCTATACATGGAAAAATAGTTCACTACGACCAAGCAATGATATCCTTTGTATTCGCAGAAATCTGAAGCTAGTCTCTTCCAACGTCTGTTTGGTAGATGTGGTGTTATTAAAAGTTCTTTGTGTTGTGTTGGTCTATTAGTTCTGCAATGTTCACATGCAGATACTTTATTGTTTTTATCCTTGCTGATGCCAAGCCACTGCACTGGCTGGTTGGCCCATTTATGGCATTTAGTTAATCCTTGATGTCCTTCGTGGATGAGGTTTAATATTTCTTCTGTCATTTCATTTGGAATTACAATGCAGTCGTCTTAATCTTGAGTCCTTTCGATTTACTTAATTGTCTATGTACCACAGAGCAGTTTCTTATTACTTACTTAGTATCCTTTATAGTTGAGCCAGCCAGCCCTAATGTAATTTAGAACCTATTGCAGTTGCATGTCTGTTGAGGTTGCTTTTTTGTAGCTGGTGTAGCCTCTTTTCTGACACTGATCTGTGTGCATCGCCATATGCCTTTACATCATCTTTGAGATCATAGGTAGCTGAGAGTGTGACAGTCTATACAATCATGTTCATCACTTTTACAAGACTGTGGTAAATTTTGTACAAAGTATGCCTTGTGAGGTATCATTTGAAAAGTCATAATCTACTGAACATTATTACCCCATTGATATATATGTAGCAACACTGTATGTGAAGTTGTGATATTCTACTGTATGATTGTTACTGAAATGTGTTGTAATACTGGGTAAAGCCCACAAACCAGTTTTTCAGAGACAAAGACACACTGACCCCAGCGAGGTGTTAAAAAAACTAACAGCTGCTTAAGTGGCCATTCTTCAGCAGGAGAAAGGTATGAATAAGAATTTACATTGCATCACAGGAAGTCCAAAAGAGGCTGCTTGTCGCCTACACCCAGCTGGGGGTAATCCTCAAAGAAGGGAGAGGGATATAAGAATGAGAGACAGTGACCTCAAAATCACCTCTCCTCCTCCCATCTCTATGCTCATGACATCAATGAATACCAGAGAGACTCTGAACCAAGGCAGAAGGGGGCAAGGGAGAAGTTCCAGGCTGAAAAGAGGATCCAGCTGTGAAACTTACTGCAGCTTATGGTGAGACAAAATCTTTTGCTTTTAAGTTCACTTGTTAAATTAGGTATTAACTTGAGTTTTACTCTTTTTTTTGTAGCCAATCCTGACTTTTATGCATCATCACTTACACTTACATCACTTGTAATCACTTAAAATCTATCTTTCTGTAGGTATTAAGCATATCTTATTGTTTTGTCTTAACCAGTGTTTAAATTAAAGGGTGTGGGATAACAAGCCTGGCGGATTATCATTTTCCTTTGATGAAATGATGGACTTTCTATGAACTTGTATTATACAGGAGGGTGCTGAGGAGCACAAGATGCACATTTCAGGGAACAAGGCTGGGACTAAGAATTTGCGAGTATTGCCCTATATGTAAAGTGAATGCTCAGAGTGCTCATGTATTTAGCTGGGAGTGAATTTACATGCTGAAGATTGTGTGAGCAGGCCAGGAGTGGCTGTTTATACCGCAAAATAATGTAAAGGGCATCCCAGGCTAGAGAACTGAAGGGGCTCAGCTATTCAACAGTCCAAATTGTACCCTGGGTAACGTCACAGTGTGATGCGGGGTTCCATGACAGAGTGTTTGCTACTACCAGATTTTTCTCAGGAACATATTTAGAAGTTGGTTTAAATTACACTAACCTTATCAATACACACTGACATCTCAGCAGTGCTTGATCCAAGCCTTTTCCATTGATGAGGGTTTTATAGTCTTTTATCATTGTAAATTAATCCCATCCACACAGATATCTGTAAAAGTTTTCATATGCCCACACACTTGCCAGGCCCTTGTTTTCATTCACTCTGTATAACTTTTCTGCTTCTGTGAGTGTGCAAGAGCAAAACACAACTGGCTTCCACACAGATTTGTGTTGTTGCAACAGTATACCACCTAGGCCATAGCGGTGTTTGCATCCACACTGACCATTGTGGGTTTGTTCGCATCATAGTACTTGAAACTGGAGCCGCTGAAATAATTTATTTTGCCTTTTAGAAGGCAATGTCTTGATTTAGCCCCAATAGCCAAGATGCACTGGACAGTTCATGCAGTGATTTTGTCACTGTAGAAAGGTCTTGTAGGTATTGACCAAGGTAATTTGCCATGCCCAGTATGCTCTCAGTTCTGGTACATTTGTTGGTGCATTCCATTCTCAGATTCCTTTTACTTTCTCAGATGGACTGATTCCATCTTTGTTTATTGCCTGTCCCAAAAGCTCAATTTGGGGTAGGCGGAAAACACACTTTTCTTTGTTTAACTTCAATCTGGACTGACTGATTAGGCCTAGGGCTTTGTTGAGGGTTTTGTTGTGTTCTTCATTGAAGATCCATATATCAAAACATTGTCCATGAAAACTACAACTCCATTTGTGTTCGTTAACAGTTCTGCCATCTTTTTTTTGGAAAATTTCAGGTGCACTGGTAATCCCAAATGGTAATCTTCGAAAGTGAAATCTCCCAAAGGGTTTGATAAATGTAGTCAGTTCAGCTTTGGCTAGAGGAATTTGCCAGAGTTGGTTCAAGGTATTCAGCTTGGGAGAACAGTTTAGTTCCTTTCAATTTGGGAAGGAAATCATCCAGAGTTGGGATAATATATTTTTCTCTAACAATTGCTTCATTAAGTCTTTTAAATTCCACACAGATTCATATTTTTCCACTTTTCTTTATAACTACTACCACTGGGGCACACGATACTGTTGGTCTTTGTAAGTTGTGTCTCTGGCCCATTTGTTGAGAGTACTTTCAGGGCTAGTCAGGGCTGTGTCAGGTGACTTCCGTTCTGGGAGGTGTTGAAGTTTAGATGTCTGCTTCTGGATTATTTAAAAGTCACTAGTGTTTCCATGAATATTCAGTTTCACTCTCCAGGCAGGCTCTGTGTCATGAGATGTGATAGACGACAGAAACAATGGGTTTTCACTGTCAATGAGTTAACACCCTGACTGCTTTGGTGCAACAAACAACTGCAAAATGTCCATATTTTGTAGAGTGTTGGAGAAGCCATATTGGTCCCAGGATATTAGATGTACAAGGTGGGTGAGGTATTATCTTTTATTGGACCAAATTCTGTTGGTGAGAGAGACAAGGTTTTGAGTTTATGCAGAGCTCTTCTTCAGGTCTGGGAAACTTATTCAGAGTGTCACAGCTAAAGACAAGATGGAACAGATTGTTTAGCACATATTTCAAGGGATTGCTCAAGGTGAAGAGGCCCACTAACAGTTCACTTACACAGTTTTAATAAGCCATAAAGCCAATGTCTATTCATTTCAGACCATGATTTTTAGTGTCTAGCAAAGTTAAGAAGTTAAGCTCACAGACTTGTCTTTTGAAAGTTTTATGCAGGTTTCCTTTGAGGACGAGGACAACAATCTATAACCCACTAAAAACCCCTTCAGCTGCTCTCCCACTTCCTTTCTTCCCTCTGACTTGAAGAATGTTAATGGGCCATTTGTGGGAGGAACTCATCTATTGAGTTGTCTGTAAAGGCCCCTGCACACTGATGGCACTGAAGAGAACAGTGATGACATCATATAGCACATGCTGATACATGTCATGACATCATCACTGCATCATTTGTTGCCTGGGACAAAATTCAGGAGTTCCTTGTTCCGATTTTCATAATTTAGTGTTATATCCTATGTAGAGCCCCTAAGCGTGTTGTCAAAAGACGGTACTATGGTCTCGCCTGACAAAAGCACTGGTGTTGTACCACAGCACCAAGTTTTCTGCTGCACAATCACACTATTACCCCACCCCAGGCACTGAAAAAGCATAAGTTGGACACCAAAAATCTGTTCCCTTTGCTTTCTTGATTGATGAGCCCTTTGGGGGGCAGGGATAGCTCAGTGGTTTGAGCATTGGCCTGCTATACCCAGGGTTGTGAGTTCAATCCTTGAGGGGGCCGTTTAGGGATCTGGGACAAAAATGGGGGATTGGCCCTGCTTTGAGCAGGGGGTTGGACTCGGTGACCTCCTGAGGTCCCTTCCAACCCTGATAGTCTATGATTCAAGCGTACCTGGGTCCTGTTTTCAAGCTTGTCTCCGTACCCCTGAAGGCTGGGTTTTGTATTATAAATGAAAACTCACGGTTTCATCTCAACCGCTTGTCCCCATGAGCTGGGACATTAACCCCAAACCCCCCAAATATTGTGACACTGCGGCGACAAAATTAGCTCCTTGGGTTGCTATGGTGATAACCACGCGCCACAGCGGAAATGGCCCCTTCTCAAACTCTTCCCGGAAGAATCGAGCGGCTCCTCTTCTGCGTTAGCCGCGGGGTCGGAACTGTGAGCGGGGACGTGAGTTCCAGCCGGGGCCTATTCGGTGTCTCACTTAGTCATTCTTCCCCCCCCCCTCCCGCGGGGTTACCGGGGTAACGGAGTCGTTGGAGAGGCGAGGAGCAAGATGGTGAGGGACAGGGCGGGGAGGTCGCCGCCGCCCCCGCCTCTGGCGAGTCGCCGCTTGGGGGATCCAGGAGCGGGGAGGTCTGGCGCCCCCCAGCACCTCCCCGCTCTGAGCCCGTCTCCCGTCTTCTTTCTGCCCCCTCCAGATGCTCTCTCGGGCCAAGCCGGCCGTGGGGGGCGCCCCGCCCCAGGGTGACAAACGGAAGAAGAAAGGCAAGAAAGTCCTGCAGCTAGAAGAGCTGCTGGCCCGGAGGGACTTCACCGGCGCCATAGCCCTGCTGGAGGTAACGGGGGCGGGGGCTGCCCCGGGGTCACTGCAGGGCTCGGCCTACGGGGCTCTGCGCTTCCGCAGCTAACGAGCTAACTCCGCCAGTCTCCCAGACAACGGGGATGCGAACGGGAGGGGCCGCAGGTCACCGGGTCCACTCCCCCCATCCCCCGCCAGTGCAGGGTTGATGCCCAGAGCACAGCCCCCGGGGCCTTGCCCAGACCCTTCTCCCAATGACTGGGGTGATGAGGCTCCTTCTAGCAGACTGTTCCCAATTGCAGCAGAGCTTCCTGTTTGGGAAAAGTTCCAGCTATTCCAACTAATTTGTCTTTTCTGTTCTTTCTCACACCTTAGTTATGCCCCTTGCACCAGCCTGAATAACCGCTTGCCCTCCTTTACGTTTACAGCTTTTAAATATTTGTACAGAGACTGTGTGACTGGATAGAATGCCTCTCCTTGAAAATGTGATATTGATACGGCTTGACTTCAGTGTCCAGGGTTGTAAAGCCAGCAGAAATCATCCTAATATTAATTTTATAAATGGATTTGTTTCACATGAGACAATCTGACAAAACTTGACAGCTGGTGTCATTTTTGCATCCCTTTTTCTTTGAAGTTTAAACGGCATGCAGGGGAACAAGATGAGGACACTGACCTCTGGATTGGATACTGTGCCTTTCACCTGGGGGACTACAAGAGAGCATTGGAGGTGAGATGAAGAAATTCTGCTTCCTGCTGGAGAGAATCAGGATGTTGTCCTAAAGTGATGGCAGCAGGCATGAGAGATGTTTTTTGGTGATGCGGAAGAAATGGGCCAGGCCATTTGTCTATAAATCCAGCAGCAATAGAGCAAACTAATACAGAAAGGCAGTTTGGATTAGGGAAATAGGAGTTTCTACACTGAAACAGTCTGTTGGTCCAGCATTCTGGTTAATCTTTGTCCCAAAGCCTAAATTGTCCCCTTCTTAATTTCATGACAGTTGTTCTAACATTCTTTTTCCTATTTGGTGTGTACACCTTCAGAAACTAATTTGTGGAAAGGTTTCAGAGTAACAGCCGTGTTAGTCTGTATTCACAAAAAGAAAAGGAGTACTTGTGGCACCTTAGAGACTAACCAATTTATTTGAGCATAAACTTTCGTGAGCTACAGCTCACTTCATCGGATGGCATCGAATTGCATCCGATGAAGTGAGCTGTAGCTCACGAAAGCTTATGCTCAAATAAATTGGTTCATCTCTAAGGTGCCACAAGTACTCCTTTTCAATTTGTGGAAAGTTATTCTTTGAGCTGGGTGGAACCTTGTTATGGGTTGAGTTAAAACCTTTTTGTAATTGATGGGTGTGAATACACTCTTCAGTTGGCATAACTGTAAGGATAAATTAACCACAGCCCTCCATCTAAAAGTAAAGGGTTATGTGAACCCACCGAAGAGGTTTGGACTGTATGGGCAGGGGGTGTGTGTGTGCACCCACTAAGTATTATTTTTGGTGGGGTGGGCGCAGAACCCGTGTGTGCATAAATGCACAGGACCAGAGAGAAACAGAGACTACCTGGAAAAATCCAAGCAGAAGCCTATAACCAAAGTGAGATTCCGAAAGAAACTTAGAGAGAGGTTCTGGTTCTGGGATGCTGGCTGAAAAGAAGCTTGGACCTGTAAGCTAAGAAACTCCTCCTTTTGCCTTTGGCTAGTCCTGTATTTGGAAAAGGAGGACTTTGATGCAATCTTGTTTATTTACAAGGAATGTACAAAGGAAATATGAGATTCTATCTTCAATACTTCCAGCAGGAATATCCGCAGGGCCCTGAACTTTGAATACCCATTCAGGTCAAAAAGGGGCAACACAATCATATCCCCACCTTCACTATTTAGCCAAGCAGTAGTATTACATATTTAATTATTTTTAATCTTTTTTTCTCAGTCCCTCTAGCCCCTTAATTGATTTTGTTGCTCTTCTATGAATTTTCTGATGTCTGCATAAAACCTCCCTTTTACCCCAAAGAGTTTTCAAGGTTTTTAGAAAATATGTTTATTCAAATAATCTATAGATTATCAAGTTGCTTGCATCATATAGTGCCTATTGTACTCCTTTTGGGTAAGAAGGTGCCCCTGTGGGATTCTGCCTCTCCCGCTGTGAAATAGAATTTGCTGCCAGTCCTGGGTCACTGAGCCCATACTCTGTTCTCAGGTGTGCCCAACACATCACTCTCTCTTGACATCTAGCAAAACCTAAGTCTGTTTCTGTTGACTATCTTGCCTTATGCCATTCTGAAACGAGCCTTCACAGCCTATTAATTTGTTTCTATGCTTTTCCATTTTCACACCTCCCTTTAGCCCTGGGAGGGCTAATATTAATGTGAATTCATAGAACTAAGGATCCCAGGGGAAAAAACATTCCTCTATAGTTTTAGAGAATTATGCTGGGGAACTATGATGACTTTTTCCCTTATAGAATTAGGTGGAGATTTCTGCTCAAAAGTACAGGGTTAAATGGGTTTCCAGACTTGGGTTGGAGATGGAATATCCCTTCCCAACCAGCCCTGAATATGTCTGCAAGATTTTTGAGAATATTTCATTTTATCCTTATTCTGGAACAATGAGCAGGGGTATAGGTTAGGAGCAGCTGGAAATATCTCACTTGATTAATTCTCTTCTCTACAATTGCCAGGGATGCTTGGAATTGGTAGACCTTAACCTTTTCCATCACCTTAAATGTTAGAACTGGGTAGGCTAAAGGGCATGAGTTGGCAGTACTGAAACTTTCTTTAGTTGCATTTGGTAATATCTGCTTGTAGAGATGGAGAGACATTCTGTAAAAAAAAAATTGTTAAGTTTATCCTGTTGCTTTGAATACTTTGTAAGGGCTTACATTACTAGAAGGAAATCCAGGATGGATTTTAAATTTCGAACACTGTCTTGGATGTAAGAGTAAAAGAGGACCTGACACATCAGTCAATAAAATAATGCAGTCCGTCTAAATCTGTTTCACCACCAGGTGGTGATATTGATCCAGGCTTTTAAAAAGTGCAAGTATTTGTATTCATCTCTTCTGCTGTCTGCTAACAGAGGCATTAGGAGCTGGTCTGTGTGACACATACATATATACACGGACCAGCTTTTAACTTAAAATGGAAAGTGGCTTGGAATTTTTTTATGCACTTGTAGAGAGGTCTCAATTTTTTTAACTAAGTATCTCTCCATCCCCACAAGCAGATAGTTTCTGGATGTAACTAAAGACGATTTCAGTGATTCTTATCCTCACAGCTGTCTTTCACAAGGCACAAAGTTGCTTGATATTTAAAAAAAAAATAGAATAAAAAATTTAATCAGTTAAAGACGCTGAGCATAATGTGCTTCGTTCTACACAAATGACTGATGAAATTAAATGGCGTATATGGCAACATTCAAGCATATGGAATGAACATAAATGTAGAAGGAAGTTAGAGGTGAGGTATTACATATTCAGTACCTTTGCATAACTGTGGCTGATTATTTTAAAATCTTAAATTTGGACCCCGTGTCCAACAGTGGTGTTGTAATACTCAATGTGGATTTTATTTTATTTATTGTCGCTATTATGGAATTCCTGATACAGTCTTTTTATGTCCATATTTTAGTCTGTGCTAAACCATGACTTACAGTTATTTAAACAGGTATATACCGGAATCCACAATAGATGAGTTCCATTATCGAGTGGGGTTTCCTGGCGGATATGATGTCACCAGAACAGTGCATACTAGGGTGTGACATGGAATAGGGAACTTCAAAGCATCAGAAAAGATTAGAAAAAAGTTGTTTGTTATCTGGGACACAGAATATATTATATAGCCCCACAGTTAACTTTTATACTGTTACTGGTCCCCCATTGTCCATTCTATTGACTTATTCTATAATGTGGACAGGGAGGGACCAGTAGCACACATCATATGTCAGAATCTAATATGAAATAAAGAGTAATAGAGTTTGAGGTCAGAAGGGACCAGCAGATAATCTAGTCTGACCTCCTGTATGTGACAGGCCACCAACAGCACCTGTCCCAACACTAAACCCAACCACTGACACTAGACCAAAGTATTACAGCACAAAAGAGACCCAACTATTATGTGGCACAGGCAGAGAACAGGAGGAACTGCAGTGTATGAGTGGCAGGGTGGTGAAACACTGGAATGTGTTACCTAGGGAGGTGGTGGAATCTCCTTCCTTAGAAGTTTTTAAGGTCAGGCTTGACAAAGCCCTGGCTAGGATGATTTAGTTGGGGATTGGTCCTGCTTTGAGCAGGGGCTTGGACTAGATGCCCTCCTGAGGTCCCTTCCAACCCTGATATTCTGTGATTCTATGATTAAGTGAGATCTAGCTAAACAGTCCTGGTAAGGGACCTGTATCTCTTGTTGCAGAAAAATTCCTAAGGTTCCTGCCAATCTGACCTGGGGAAAAATCCCTTCCCAAACCTGCATATGATCAGTTAGACTGAGCATGTGAGCAAGAACCTGCCAGCTATGCCAGTGAGGGAGAGAATGCTCAGTCCTGCCTTAGAACACTGGCTCA